GCCGTGTGGTGTGAGAGATGGTGCCCCCTGGGGAGTGGAGGAGAAAAAGGAAGGAGGGGGTTTTGAAGAGATATGGGGAGGAGATTTTCAAGGGGTGATAGGGAGATAGAAGGGGGGTTTTGATGGAGAGGGAGAGAAGGGGAGAAGGGAGTTTTGATGGAGATGAAGAAGAGGTGATGAGGCTTTGAAGGGAAGATGAGGAGGGGGTTTTGAAGGGGAGGGTTGAGGAGGTCTTGAAGGGGGTGTGGAGAGTATGGGGAGGTTATGAACTTATGGTGGCGAGGGAGAGGAAGGGAGGACGTTTGGAGGAAGGGATGGGTAGGAAAAGAGGAGGTGGTTGCTAGGGAGAGGGACAATGTTAGACGGGAAGAAGAAAATGGAATAGGTTGGGAGGAAGGGAATTGAGAAAGTTGAGGACAGAGACTTGGAGGGGAGAAGAAAAGGAGGAAAGGGGGAAGAAAGCGTTGGTGGGGAATTTCTGAAAGAGGGGAGAGAGGCGAAGATGTCATTTAACGTTTTTAATGCCAAACTCACAAACCTCTCTCTCTCTCTCTCTCTCTCTCTCTCTCTCTCTCTCTCTCTCTCTCTCTGTGTGTGTTGTGAGCGAGAAGGGAGTGATGCACATCTGTCACTAACAAGGTGTGTATTGCAGGTGCAGGTGATTACTAGAAAGGTGTTTATTACCTGTTATTGGGTGGTTGATAACATCTGAGGACTAATTTGATGACGTCACTAAATGGTGTGTGTTAGTGACGTCACGAAGGGTGTCGACATTAGAGACGGGTAAAAAAGTCAGTCTTGTATCTTTCCTTTAACTCGCACCAAAACATTATCCTTGAATAGAGTTAATTTTGTCTTTGTTTAAGAAGAGTTTGTGGTAAGATTATGACCTTAAATATGTTTAAGTGACCTCTTTTGTTGTCCCTGAACTAAGGTAGAGTCATCTTGTGTAAAACAGTGAGAACTACGCCTGAGTTGTGACGTAATTACTGACTTAAAACTAATGAACAGTTGAGTATAGTTGTTGACTTTTCAGTATTACTGATACTGTACAACACTTTCCTTATACTTACTCTGTTGACGTGGTTATGTCCTTTAGGAAAAGATACTTTCCAGTAAATTTAGTTGTTTTTAAAAATAAGTTTCTGGTATAGAAATACTGAGGTCCAAAGTGGGACAAAATAACTTTAGAGTTTTAAACCATGTAGACAAGAAACTCTTGAGCATACGAAAGTTTTAAATTCCTAATTGCTTCTACTGTGGGTTTATGATGACTAATGCAGAATGAGAGAGAGGGAGAGAAAAAAAATATTGAGCCCATATCTCACTTTTATGGACTGGACAAGGCCGCGAAAACCGCTATAGTGAATGACGCTCAAGAGATACGTTTAAACACCTCTTCCCGCCCCATGTAACTGGATCAAGGCTGGTGGCGGGGTGTAGGTGCTGAGAGGCTCCAGTTCTCACACCCAGCAAGCTCTTCTCATTCCCCGTGATGGACAGGTGTGAGGGTCGCTGTGTTTTACCGTGTGAGAGATTTCTGTCACCTTGAATGTACCCTGACAGCAGTGTTGACAGATTATGTTTACTTATTCTAGGTCACCCTTATGTCTCTCTTTATTTATTTATCTATATATGATTGAAAGTGATGTGGTGGCTGAGAGGATAAACTGCTCACGTTCTGTCCTAAGTTCGATTCCAGGAAACCCCCAGTCCGTCCAGCTGTAAACGACTACCTTTCTTTACAGTTTGGGATGTAAAGGCATCTGAGTACAGTGCCGGGGCCATGCTGCCCCCTTGTGTACCAAAGGCTGTTTATACAGTATGCTATATCCACGCTGTCCCTAGTGGACTATCAAACCTATGGGACCCACTCAGTTTCTACAATGGGAAGGCTTTATTAGTTATCTCCTCTCGGATATTTATACTTTGTACATTAGTGTGTGTGTGTGTGTGTGTGTGTGTGAGAGAGAGAGAGAGAGAGAGATGAAACATACAAGTCGAAATTATAGCCTGGAGCAAATAAATTCTGACAAACTCGGGAAGTGTTGCTGCAGGCCAGCTCTTGCTTCAAGTTCATCGGGAAGACGAGAAATCTGTTTGCAATACTTGGATCCTCAGTGATTCATGATTTAATATTTCCTCGTAATAGGAGACGAAATGACGCATTTATTAAGGGCATACTTTTGAATGGACCAGTCATTACGTTTTGACCCCCCCAATTAGGCTTTGCTGTAGGGTCTGCTTACGAAATAAAAATTTTGACTAACGTTTAATGTGAATTTAAAACGACAAAAAATGTAGGCTAAACGATGGACAAATAGAGGAGACTTTTACAGAGTACTAGAGGCTGGTCTTTCTTTAAATTATATGAATAGCAACCATGAAAGTAATAGCTGAACAGGGAAAGTAATAAAACAGGACGCTGGTGATTTGATCCTAATAAAGTACAGTACTGTCGAAAACTGTTGTATCGACTCAGATGCGCATCAGCTTAGATATTTGGTCTGTGTTTTGATATACTGTATAATTACTTGTTGGAGTAACTTCCTAAACTGCATCTTGACTATAGTTTATTCTACAAAACACACAATGATTTTAAAAGTTCGAAATAACCTTCCAGTACAGCGCGGGAAATTAATATTTAACTTTCAGCAGAAGGAATAAACATGGACGCTGATTTACACCTTCACAAAATATTCCATACTTGACCTTTCATGTAACCTTTTACTTAACTCCCCCTAAACAAATTATGAATAAACTCACGAGTGTTCGATCCATACCAACAAAAAGAATAAGAAAAAGATAACAAGGAGTGTTGTGTGTGGGCTACGTGTACGAGTCTCGGCCTTAACTCCGCCTGTTGTCTCATACGATAATACTCTTACATTCAGTACGGTGATTTACATGGCACCGCTGACCGCCTAAATGTGTTTGATAACCGTGGGAGAGCCGTGATTCGTGAAGCTGTGATGTAACGTGGTCTTATGTGGTGTTGTCTAATAGTTACATGCCCGTCATAGCAGATATTTTTAAAGTTTGTGCATTTTAATTGTATATATCGTATGTGAGGACAGAGAAGCGGAAGATCTTTTTATCGGGTGGCAAGGGCGGATCCAGGGGGGGGGGGGCATCCAACGGGGGGTCCGGACCCCTCCCCCCCGTTTTCACCAGAAATTTCAATAATTTTTTTTTAATGCAGTATTGAACTCAGACGCTTTTGTAAATTGCAAATTGATTGCTATTGAACTCAGAATATCTCCTAATATCAAGTGCACATGACTTCAATTGGCCTCCAAATGCCCATTATATTGGTCAAATTAAAAAAAAATATGGGGGGCCTTAACAGCGCCCCCCCCCCCCACCTCCCTAACCCCCAAGCAGCTAGGGCCTAGCTAGATGGGCTCGCTTTGCTCTTCATGTTACCCCAGTTGAAAATCGGAAAACTACTAGAAAAAATCTAAGTGGCGCCAGAAATGGCATTTTTTCTATTTATTAATAAGTTCAGACAAAAATAAAACGATTTTCATTTCTGACAACTTTTTTTTCATTTTACCCATAACCGAGATAATACGTGGATGATTGGCACCAACCAAACCGACCTGACCCCTAACTTCCTAACCGGTGGGCTCCATCCCCTGCATATTAAATATCTCGGTTCTAGGTCGTTTGCGAGGGAAATACCATAGAAGAAAAGTGTTTTAGAATTTTCTAAACTCCAGTCTATTGTCTGCAAAGAAGAAACCCGAGATTCTGTCCGTGGCAATAAATGCAATAAAAGCTTTCGAGTAGTTTTCTGACTTTCAACTCCAGATATTTCGATTGTGGGTAAAATGTGCTGAAAGTGTCAGATAAAAATCAACGTTTTTGTCTGAATTTTTCATAGAAAAAGGGTTATTGTATTTTCTCAATGTATGTCCAAAAAAAATAATAATAATTTTACCTTTTACGGAAGGGGTAATTTGCGTCTCCGGATAGAACATTATTTAATAGACACCTATTTCTTTTTTCTTCATATTTATTCAGGGTTTTTTGAGGTGAAGGATAGAAAAAATAAATCCCAATGATCGTAAATTAGGGAAGACTAGGTTGGTTATGTCAGGATGTACCTGGTTAGTTATAACACTTGTAGTATCTCTCACTGGCCAGCAGCAACTTACATTTCATAAACGATGCACCACCAATCCTCAGGATTACAATTAACATTTTGTTTACTCCTTTGGTACATCTTTTCAGTTTTATCGTTTTTATGATCTTCATACTTCAGTCACTTATTCTTCTATTTCTGTCACCGTATATTTGTTTCAGTAAATAAACTATAGTGCGTTAAGACGTGTTCTGGACGCTGAGTCAAATATCACAGTTAAAAAACAAAAACAGACAATTGAGGTAGACCGCAGATCGTCCTCAGTACAGTAATCAGTTTTTCATCTAATTCATCAGAGCAGTACATTTAGTAAAAGACGTACGATCAAACTTAACCCTCAGAACTAATGATACCACCCGCCAAAGTGTTGTTAGCGTCCCATAACTACATTATTGAGTATTAGCAAGTGGAGATAAATAGTGGTCAATGATTACCTGGGATCGGGGAGGTCTAATCTTTGCCGAAACCCGAACCTCGCAAGGACGACAGGTAGAATCTTAAATGTATAAAATGGAACCACTTTTTTCTTATATTTACAGTATTAAGATTTATTATTATTATTTTTTTTCACCGGGTCTTACAAATATGTCGGTCTTATAATCCCTCCAGGAGTTGAAAGAACGGCATCTTCCAATTTCAGGTAATTTCGTTTTAATTTCATGTACTGGTAAGACTATTCACAATTAATAATAATATAATAAAGTATAAAAAATCAAGTTTCATTTCTTAAAAATAAGGCTCCATTTCCTCTACTTGTCTTGCAAATTTTACATACAAGGGTATAGCTGGGGAAAATATAACCTTCAATTATTCCTTATCTTCTATATATTTTCCTCAATTTTAATATCATTAGTAATTATATAACAGATTACCTAAATGTCATTACCTTTAATTTTCAAGATTATTGTATTCTTCTCGGTGGTTGATCGGCATAGTTGGTGCTGTCGACAAAATTGTAAACAACGATTGATTGTGCTGCGGCCGAGGTTGGTTGTTATTGTTACGAATTACCTGACATACCGGTGCTTCCTCTTACTAGTGTAGCTCCTAAGACAATATACAGGGGTTTGGTGAGTTATTTACATTAATCAATAGAGGGTTTATTATTTGGTGGCATCATAACTTGTGTTCAAGGACTACAAACAAATAAGTCGTAATGTTGTCTTAAGAATTGATGGTGAGCCTTTTTATCATTAGAGATTTTGAGAAGGTGGTTAGAAGGAGTTCATTTATTCTCTTGAAATCTTAATATTTTATGTTTCTTTTGCATTTGAACTAGACACTTTGAAGACTTTGCATTGAAGTAAAGTTGGTAATGTTGCAGTGCATGTGCAACAAAAGAATTCAAGGTAAACTTTTATTTGGTCACCTTTTTTGGTAATAAATTAAGCAATGGAAATATCAAACCAAATTAATCCTTGTTTATTCTAGAGTCGATTTAAAAAAATGGTAGTAAGAACTTGAACTTATTACATCTATAATACTGAAGCTAGTTATCATGGCTAAACTAATTACTTTTTTAGTAAATTATATTGAATTTAAAGTGTTTCTTACCTTTAGTTCAGGAGAAGGGCTTGTGCATATTAAAAGATAGTAGTTTTCAGTGTCAGTAAAGGTGGAGGGAACTTTAAGCACCAGAAGGACTTAATAGAATTGCACCAAATTTCCTGATGTTGTTTGAATGATACTGTGTAATAAAATCAAAGTGAGAACATTGTATTTTTTCAAATGTTCTTTGTAGCCTATCCTTCAATTATAAATTACTTGTTAATGGGCAGGCATGAAGGAAGAGGGAAATAATGGGGTAAAAACTCTGCGAACACTGATCGTATGGCAGTTCAAGTAATTTCACGTCTCTACGTCCTTTGTAGGTGAAGAAATAAAATACTTACCTTAATTATAGTGCCACCGGATCTCCCATAGTGACCATGTTTTGGTTCACATTGTCTCATATACGGGAGCGTCCGTGGTCTTTGCTTGCGTATCAAGAAACCATTGATGATCTCATCGGGTGTGTTTATTACAATTGATATTGGATTGAATTCGTTCTTTTTTTTTGAGATGGTGTTTGGATGATGGTAAGAAAATCGAAACCACAATGCACAGGTTAGGAAGTTAGGTAGGTTAGGTCAGACTCTACTAGGCTTTGTGCATTCTTGCTTCCATTTTCGTGCTCAGTACCATACAAATAGTACCTCCAGAAATTTTGGTTCAATTCCGTAAGTTATTTCTGGTGCTAGTGGTCTCCACCTTTACCTCAGTGTCTTCTTGACGTCCAAGTACAGGTATTTATGTTTAGTAATAGTCTTGGGCATGGTTCCTGGTTAACTATGAACTTAACGAAAATCGTTCAATAAAAGATAACTTCATGCTTACCTCAAAAAAAAAAAAAAAAATTGGAGGATTTTTAGTTTTAGTGATAGCATTTTGGTATTTTTTATGACAAACACTAATATACATTGATGCTTTACCTTTTTACGGCACCACTTGATTGTGTATGTGAACATGGAATGTTTTGTAGACAGGAACACCCTAATCCTTCCCAGAGACTGTTCCATACACACAAATATAGTACTTCCAGCAACTGCTACATTACAGGTATCCCTCGATATATAATTATGCGTTAGGTTCCTGAAAACCATTCATTAAGTGAATTTTTGTATAGTGAATAAAAAAACATAATGGGAAAAATAGGGTTCAGTTCCCCTTTGACAAGAAAACACCTATATCATGCCTGAGAAACATAAAATGAGTTCACGAACAACAAAAAACTTATCTAACTAATGGTATATCGTACACAAGTACAGTGGTCCCTCGGTTAAAGAGCACAATCCGTTCCAGAAGGTTGTTCGTAAACCGAAAAACTCGTTAACCGAAACCATTGTTTCATTGGGTTTTTGGGTAATTGGTTCCAGCTCACCGAAAATTGCCTAAATTCATCAAAAAAGGTAGAAAAGTTCACTTACTTTAAGGTGTGTATGTAGAAGGCTCCTGGATGATGATGCTGATGTGAATTTGAAGTGGGAGGAGGAGAAGGGAGAGAAGGAAGTGGAGGTGGAGGAGAAGCATTTTACTGCTTCTTGGAAGGTGACTCACCTTCCATGAAAATGTCAGGAACCTCTGGACTGACATTTTCTCCACCATGAACATCCTCTCTCCTTCTTGAAGTGGAAGGCTGAGGGATAGCATCTTGTTCCCTCTGCCTTTTACTGAAGAAAGTGTCAATTGTGGTCTGTGGGGCATCTCTCCTCCTCATCATTAACTTATGTTTAAAGAAGGAGACCATTGTGTCCTCAACATGACACAAAGTTAGTTCAGATTTTTCCACATCTGGGTGCCTTGAAGCCAGTTTCCTGAACTTCTCCCAGTAGTAAATAACATCTTTCAACTCTGAAGTTGACATATGGTCATCGCTTTCCTTTTCCTCCTCACCATTGTCAGCCTTTAACATCTCATCCAGTTGCTGCAAGTCATCAGGAGTAAGTTCCTCCTCATGAGACATCACAAGCTCTTCCACATCATCCTCCTCCACTTCAAGGCCCAATGACTGACCAATGGACACAATCTCCTGGTCCAACTCCGCTTCTTCCTCAAATCCCTCAAAATCATGGATTACTGATGGCCACAGTGCTTTCCATGAAGAATTGAGGGATCTAGTGGAGACTTCTTGCCATGATGACACAATAAATCTTACAGCCTCCAGGATGTTGAATTGTGTCTTCCAGAACTGTTTCAGTGTTAGTTCAGGATCATTGGAAGTTGCCTAATGACACCTCCTAAACATTTTCTTCATGTACAACTTCTTGAAGTTGCTGATCACATTCTGGTCCATTAACTGTATGATTGATGTAGTGTTGGGAGACAAAAACAACACTTTCACAAAGTCAAATTGATACTCCAAATTTCTGGCAAGGTCAGGGTCATGACCAGGAGCATTATCCATGAGGAGAAGAGCCTTTAAAGGGAGTTTATTGGTGGTTAGGTAGCTCTTGACAGAAGGGCAAAACACCTCAACAGCCCATTCATTAAAGAGCTGTCTTGTCACCCATGCCTTGCGGTTGGACTTCCAAAAAACTCCAAGCTTTACCACTTTCTGTTGCTTGAACACCCTGGAATTTTCAGAGTGGTAGACAAGCATAGGCTTCAGTCGGAAATCCCCTGAAGCATTGGCACCAAGCAATAGAGTGAGACGGTCTTTCATGGGTTTATGCCCTAGTAAAGAGGCTTCATCTCTGGTGATGAATGTTCATTTGGGCATCTTTTTCCAAAACAGCCCAGTTTCGTCCACATTGAACACTTGCTGTGGAAGATAATTTTCTTCATCCATAAGTTCTTTAAACTCCACTAAAAACTTTGCTGCCCCTTCCTTATCAGCACTAGTAGCCTCACCATGCCTTACTACACTAAATATGTCACTTCTTTTCTTAAATTTTTCGAACCAGCCTTTGCTGGCCCTAAAATCTTCAAATTCTGTGCCTGAAGAACCAGGTTGATCTGTCTTTAAATGTTCATAAATCTCCCTGGCTCTTTCACAAATAAATTCAATAGAAACTGAATTACCTTTCATCTGTTTTTCCCTAATCCAGATGAGAAGTAACCTCTCTGTTTCTGCAATTAGGGATCTACTTTTAAACACTCTGGTAGATTTGTCTCTCACTTTCACTTCTTTAAATTTTTCTTTCTGTGCAAGAATTGTCGACACAGTTGATGTCGACATGCCATATTCTTTGCATAGCACATTTGTTCTAATGCCCTCTTCATGTTTTTTATAATTTCCTGCTTAGTTTGGATTGAAATCGCTTTTCTTGATCACTTAGGCCCCATGCTGGATTCAAACAATCTCAACACGTGATATTTTAAGTTTAAGTTTAAACTTGCTGTAAATAAAGAATATTTTCTTTAAAATAACACCGCACTGCGCTGTATATTGTCAATATGTAAAATTAATTTCAAAATGACCAATAATTTGCTTGGAAACCACAGAAAAAAAGCGTTTAGTTGGAGAGAGTCTCAAGCAAGATGTTACCTCCACTGAAAAGACAGAGAGACTAACGCTTGTATGGTGTGTTGGCAGGCTGGATGGCGCGCATGAAACTAGTTTCCTTACCTTCAATTATGTTCAATAATTGTTAAAATGACTAAAGAATCTAATATTAAACTTTTAAAATTATTGAATAGTATAAACTTCTTGATATTTACTAAAATAGTAAGGAATTTAAGCCCTAGAACCGATTACTGTATTGGCGGACTAATACTACAGCTGGTTGACCGCCAAGTGCAAGCGAAAACATGTTGAGGTCAGCTCGTAAGAAACTCGCTAATCGAGGGATTGCTCGCTAACCGAAGTTAAGAATCTTATGGAAGGTAACTCGTTAACCGAGGCTCTCTTTAACCGAGGGACCACTGTACTGTAATTAACTAACACATTAAAAACATTAATAACATACTTTCTAGGTGAAAATATTTAGCTAAAACCATTAATGAAAAGCTAAACGGAGTATAACACAACTGCCATTTGTATAGACACTGCTGCGTGGCCTCAAGCCTCGCCACAGTAACACAGCCCAGCTAGGACGCTGCCTCTGCTGACCTTAGCAACAGGGCTCCCACACTCTGCTCCTCCTTTCCACTCTAGTACACAAAGAAATGTTTTTGACCTTATGATAGTTATTTCCTTTACTTTTTTGCACATTATGTATGTAGGATTGTGTCTGCATGTAACTGAGTAAGAAAAAGAAGAAAGTTATGTTTATCTACCCAAAATTACAAGCTGAAGAGTTGGAACATAACCATAACATGACTGCCCCCAGTTCAACTTGTTAACTCATTGGTGCATGAAGAAATATTTATTCCTTTTATGTTTTGTACCTTATGATAATTATTATTATTACTATTACAGTATCGTCTGCATTTACGCGGCCAATTGAACCCGTGGAGGTCTACGTAAAACGAGAAACGCGTAAACGAAATAACAGAACATATGGGATTAATTGTAATTGAGACTGGGCCGACTCCCAAACTCCACTTTTTCCGACACAATACGTACCTTGTAGTAAAAATAACATCATAATTTTATGATGGTATTGACACACACATAATATCTAAATAAAAAACTACAAATATAAAGGTGTTTAACACTTACGTTTGTAGAAGAGATGGGTCGGCACACGTGGATAGCGGCTGGTTCCGAGGCAGGGGGCAGATTAGTGGCCCTCCGGTGAATCACTATCACTACTCACAGAGGTTTGCAGGGCCTCCCTGACAAACCTCTCAAAGTCCATATACTCACTGTCACTATCACTGACTTGGGCTGGCTGTGGTTGTGGTGGGTTGCGGGCGAGACTAGCATTGATGTTGTCGTGATACATCTGGACATACGGCTCCATAATTTTCGACAGAAGGTTATTAGACACTTCATACCGATGCTTGACTGTGTCTTTGTCAAGGATGAGCTTGATTTTCTCCCCCAACTCGATGACTTCCTTCACATAACCATGGCTTGGTCCAGGTAGTTCAAGATTTCTCGGGGGTGGTGGGGGTCCAGCGGAAGCCATTGTGAGGGGAATAGCGGGCACAAGAGAGAACAGTATACGCAGAGAACTGAGAACAATGAGACTGGCCCGGCTAGGTCAGCGACTTCTTCCCTCTGGTGGCAGGGCACGTCATGTTACATTAGACCAATCACAGCTAGTGGCGGAGGGAATGCGTGGGTGGTAAGGATGCGTGGCCCGATCACAGTCCGATACGTCATATGACGTCAGCGATAACGTAAGAGCGACCTAATGTGCACCCTCCAGGCGCCGCTTCCCGCGTAAATGATGGAATGAACCGCGTAACTTAAAATTTTCATTCTGGCAAGGTGCCGTGTAAATGACCAAACGCGTAAACAAAATCCGTAAATGGAGACTACTTTTTTTTTTTTGCACATTTGTATGTTAGGATTGAATGTGCATGTAACTAAATAAAACAAATATGAATAAATTTATGCTTAGCTACCTGAAATTATGAGTTGAAAATAACCATAAAATTACTCACACCTGGTAAGGATAGGGCTAGGGGGATGTGGCCGCCCCAGCTGACCCCCGGGGATGCACGATTTGAATTTTTGCCGAGACCCAAATTTGTATAAGTGGGAAAGCTTTTGTAACATGAAAAAAGAGGTGGTAATCTAAGAAATTTGTATAAGCGAATTTTCGTATCTCGAATGTTTGTACAGTATAGCCAGGGATACAGGTACCTGCACATCTATATGATGTAAAGTGAACCAACAAGACCTACTGTACCTATCCTAGGATGGAAATAGAGGCAGATCCTGATTTATGAAAGAGTTAAGTTTTTGAAAAGCCTTTCAAAAATTGTGTTTGTAAATTGAATTAAGTTCCTATAGACTACCATTATAGCAGCTTTGTTTCTAAGAAATCCCCAAAACTTAATGAATTGATGTTGAACATGTTTTTAATAAAATTGTTTTGGTTAAATAATGCTTATGACATTGAATTAAATGCAATACTGTAGTAAGTTTATGTAATTCATATTACTGTAATTATATACTGTACTGTACTTAGTGATGCAAAAAAAACAAACATGTTTTTGGGGGTTTGTGGGTTTTTTTCTCAAAAGAAACATTTAAAAAACAATTTTAATTTTGCTTGAAAAGATAATTGATTTGTTCTACACCATTTTCTATGCTTTTTTTTTGTCAGTCATTGTAGCCTGAGTCTTACTATCCTGGAAGGGGTGAAAATAGCCGTCTCCTTGCACACACTGGCTGAGGTGGATCGACAAGAGGTTTAAGTACTGTATTGCAAGAAACGAACCAAGTTCCTCCACCACATTAAAGGAGGTAGCAGGGCTTGAACCTCTGACCCTCAAGCTGAAAGACTTGAGTGCCTTACAGCCATAATGTCACCTGTGTTAAAATTTTATTTTTAATTCTTGTTCTTACCATAATTATTTAATTTTATCCTCTTCAACACTGATTGGCTCGTTAGCCGCTTGGGCGGTCGGTCACGTCTCTGTTACAAACTGCTGGCAAGTATACTGGGCATGCATTGGCTCCTGAATGTATCTGAACCTGCTCTAGTGTTGGTCAAGTCTGGTTCTTGAAAGAGCTCACACTCGTGTTTTTCACAACGCTCTCTGTCAGGCTGTTCCAAGAGTTTAAAATTCTCACTCCGAAAAAATTTGCCCTCATAGTTTTCTGAACTTGTGGCTTTTTCAACCTTGAGCTGTAACCCCTTGTGGGGTAGACGTCCACCAGCTTCAGGTATGTACATTCGACCGAGTAGTGCCCCCCCGAGATGTTTATACACTTCGATTAAGTCGCCCCTTGCCCGTCTGTAGTATAATCTAGGTAGTTGCAGGCACTTCAATCTCTCTGGGTAACTGATGTTCCGTAGAGCAGGCACCAGTTTGGTGGCCCTCCTTTGGACATTTTCAATCAATTGACAGTCTCTAGCATACCTCGGGAACTGGCCGGAGTGACTACTCCAGACGGGGAAACAACTCACTTTTGAAGATTGTGATGAGCGATGGACCATCCAGATATCTAAACGACCTTCTTATAAGACCTTCTAGTTTCGTTGCCTGATTCACCCTCTTCTCATAATGACCAAAGAACTTAAGTTCATTGTCAACATAAACACCCAGGTCCTTTTCATATTCCATCTCTGTTAATGCAGTCTCTTCATCCTGTTGGGACATGTGATAAGTCTCCTTACCATTGGTGCAACCCAGGGGCATCCTTTTACACTTTGTGACATTGAATCTTAGCAGCCATTTCCTCAACCATTCTTAAAGCTCACAGAGATCTTTCTGCAGCTCTTCACAGTCTGTTTGGTTTTTAATTTTCCTAAATAATTTGGCATCGTCCACAAACATTTGTAGGAGGAGTTTGTAGCTTCTGGCATGTCATTTATGAAACAAACAAACAACAACAGGCCCAATACACTACCCTGTGGCACTCCGCTAGTCACAGGTACACATGACTATTTTGTACCATTAATCACCAAACACTGTTTGCAGTCATGCAGAAAGTCTCCGATCCACGCCAGGACACTTCCCCAAATTCCGTACCCTTCCAGTTTAGTTCTCAGCCTTTCATGCAGTACGCTGTCAAAAGCCTCGGCAATATCTCGGTATATATTTCCACCGTGTTCTAGAAATTTTAGCCCAAGCATCTAGTACCTTGAGTAAATGTGTTAAGCAGGATTGCCCCGGCATAAAACCATGTTGGCATTCCTTTACAGAGTTGTTTCGTAGCAGATGTTTCATCATGGCATCTCTTACGATGCTCTCTAGTACTTTACACACTATGCTGGTCAGGCTCACTGGTCTATAATTATTTGTGGAGTGACGATCGCCCTTCTTGAATAAAAACCTCACATAGCCATTTTCCAGTCACCGGGGACCTTTTGCACATCCAGGCTACTTAAACCTAGGATTAATTAAGATAAGCAAAAATAATAAAATTTATAACCCGTCCCAATTGCACTACCGTCTGTTCATATTATTCCACAACTAGATATTATGTTGACAGTTTAATTACATTCTAAAACATCAACACAATGGCTGTACAGTCACTCAAAAACTATATCTGCTTGGGGGGCTGATGACTTTCAGAATGAACAATGCGACTCTTGTTGTCTCGTTAGGGTTGCCAAAATCTTTCGTCTGTTGTTATATTTTTTCAACACAATTTTGTTTTGATAGTTCTTAGGGTGACTGCGCATGTGCTGCGTAACTATGAATTTTGTCAACTTCTGTACACTGCTTGAATACACTTCTTAATGTTTAATAATGAGATACAGCATTTGTACTTATTTATTATACAGAGAGTTGTGTATACTGTAATTGAATTCTCCTTCTTGAACAGTTGGGCAACAATGAGCTACAACAGAGGCCGAGGTTTTGGTTTTGGAGGGTTTTCGTTTGCGAGGAAACAAGAAGCAATCCCACCTCCACCTAATGCCACCCTAAGCAAACATGGCTACCACACAATGACAGCCATTAGCCAGAATGCAATTTCTGGAGGTTGTGGTTATGGTCAGCCTCGCAAGAGACCTAGGGATGAGGATGAGTAAGTCTCTGAATTTTGTTCAGTGCATAATGATTAAAAAATGATATACTGTACAAGTTGTCTACAAAGTCCTGTTCTAGTTTTGAAATTTAATTGCAACAAAACTAAAAGAAATAGAATGATGCAGTTTTTTGCAATTTGTTACTTTACAAATAAAGATTTATAATTTCTGCATTGCACCCTAACATGCACACCATTAGTGGACCATAGCCCATCCCACCATTACTCCATTTGAGTCCATTTGTTGGTCTACATATCCTTCGTTACTTCTGATGTCCTTGGTCATCAATGTATAAAGTGTTTCAATGTCAGCAACTGAGGTCTGGAGATGGGCCTAGTATGTCCAGCCCATCTTCCAGAGGATTTCCCCTCAAGGAAGTTAAAATCAAATTCCAATAGTGAATGGTTGTGACTCTGGAAGCCAGATGACACATTGAGCTTTCTGCTGTGTAGACGCCTTCATTCAAGCTTCTATTGTTAGCGCCTGGACGCTCACATTACAAGCTGTAAATCAAGAAAAACTTCATAAATCTTTTTCGGTTTTGTTGTACAGTAATAGCATTTTAAAAACAGAACAGGACTTTGTAGACACACTGTTCTGTTTAGTACAAGTATAATTTTCATTACAGTAATCTGGGTACAGTACAAGTTATAAATATTAACTATATAGCTCTGTAAAAAATATGATGCTGCATACTGTACCTTTATTGTTCCTTATGGTTATGATTGGGAAGATAAACACTTTTTTAATTTTCTTTTCTAAACTTGAGGTCCAGTCAACAAATTGGGACCTGGGATTTTATGCTTTACAATGTAGACAGTTCTGAGAGTAGCTACATGGTTACTTGTTCCTTGCTCACTTATAAAATGAGATTTCAGGATTTATCTCTGATGTACAGTATAATCTGTGAATGGCTTCTTATGTCACAGCAGGTTTTTACCAGTTATGAGAAAACCTTTACTCTCTGCACCATTAATAAGTACCTAAAACTAACAGGTATTTTGATGATGAGGACGAGAGCTTCGAAGGAGCATACCAGCCTGCCCCAGGTAGTCCTGGACCCCAGAGAAAAGATTCTTCAGACTCTGATGAGGATCCACTGGATGCCTTCATGGCTGGAATTGAACAGGAGGTGCTTATACTCTTTTCATAGACACATACTTTGCAATGTATTTGATATTATGTTCATTGAATCATTGTTCAACAGGAGGTAGACTTGTACACTATAGGTTATGATATTGTTGATTTATTTGTTAGACGTTCAGTACATACTTTACATTTTAAGAGCTATGCACAGAATTACTGTGTTAATAAAAGGCATTTGCTATGGTAAATTTCCATTTGAGAGGCGTGGAGAATAATTGAGGTTCAAAGTGAAAAATATGTTGCAAAATAAAAATTGAAGTTCAATAATTTCCTTGTTCTATATACTGTACAGTACTGTAATTTGCTTGGAACCCCTTATCTTTACCTGCTGTATGAATCAATATTGAAAATGAAAAGAGAAAGTAGTTTCTTCACCTGTAATATGAACAATATGCCAAGATTTGGAAACATTTGGTGCTCAACTATTAGCCAAGTAATATTTAATAAAAAAATTAATTTAGTTCTGCATTTGCTGTTGAAGTGGGATATTATTTAACAGCTGTGATTAATAATTGTGGATAAATTTAATATTTTATAGGTAAAAAGGACAAAGGGTAAAGGTGCAGGAGAGAAAAAAGAAATGAAAGGAGTTCGAGATGACATAGATGAGGAGGACGATGAAGAGTCTTACTACAGATACATACAAGAAAACCCCAATGCTGGCAGGTAAGTACAGTACAGAGACCCAGTGGATCCTGAGTTCTTGGATAGGGTATGCTTTTTATTGCTATAGTTTCATAGAGGGTGTTTCATGTTTTTGTGTTGTGGCATAGCTGGATGCATCACGAGCAACAGCAGAGGGCCCCAAGGAAGAACTTAATGCTAGTCAGCTATCATCTTTGTATGTTGTGGCCAAGAGTGTCAATGAGCTGCATCTTGTCTTGGTGTGAGAGCACCAATCAGCAGTCACTAACTTAGAAGCCATTGAAGGTGTGTGTGTGGATATGATACAATGTTGACAAGCCAAGCTTTGTGCAAGCTAGTTGTGAGGTACAGTATTTTGTATTAAAATATGAATTATAAATTAGCAACAGGGTATGTTAAGATTTGTAAAGGTGTTTAGATGCCTGAAGAAATGTGAGTGTATATGAGGCGTCTATCGTAGGAATGACGAACTCGCCAAATCATAGTTTTGAGTAAACGCACGTCAAAGCTTTAGAACTGTAAAATCACACAGCGCCATGGAATATTGATAGAATTGCCTCAGTTATGTTCTATATTGATAATTTTTGTGTGTAGAAGGTGTGCATAATACAACGACAAGCCTGTTGTACCCAAAAAATATTATAAATAGCCAGTAAAATAAATATTATTCTTCCCAATGTACACGTAAAAAAAAAAGTTTCACAAGACAAACAATCACTTTTATAATTGCTTCATGCTTTAAACGCTTGCGTGATAGCCCAGAGGGGCCAGGCACATTATCACTTTCTGAAGAAATCATTATTAATCCACCAAAATGTCTATTTAATCAAAAACAACAGAGTTAACAGGAGCACTATCGATGAGAAACACATTCACGACGCTACCACTACTTTGCTGTCACTCGGAATCAAGTATGATGATCATCCAGCTATGATACAATGATATGAGTTATTAAGGATGTCACCTAGGTTGGTGAGTTTTGAGCTGACTAAAGAGGCCGATACGGGACCAGCAGGGTTGTCCACAGATGTTGCACCTGTGGAGGGCTACATCTAGTGTGGGAGAGGCGGAAGCAGCATCTTTCCGGCGTTGGCGCTTGTCTGCCTCATTATGCAGTCGGGCTAACTCAAAAGTATTGACACCTTCTCGTGTGGTGCTGCTCCAAGCGTTACGGTGTGGAGTAATAGACTCCCAGGTGAAGGGGTCGATTTGGCACTTTTTCAGGTTTGTCTTAAGACTAATGTTATACCTATTCAGTTGCCCGCCAGTTTTACGTTTACTATTCGTTAGGTGACTGTAAAGTAGCTGCTTTGGCAGTCTACTGTCGTCCACGCGGGTAACATGGCCAGTCCAGAGTAGTTGTTCATGGATAATGGGAGCCTCAATGCTCCTACAGTTGGTGTCAGCGAGAATACTGGCATTTGTTCTCTTGTCTTCCCAGCGAACTCGGAGGATGGAACATAGACTACTTTGGTGAAAGTTTTCAAGTGAATTGAGGTGCCTCCTGTATGTGACCCATGTCTCGCTGCTGTATAGCAGGGTGGGGAGGACCACTGCTCGATACTACATGTAACTTTGTAGATAATCTCAGCTCCCTACAGCTGAAGACACTGGTACGGAGTCTGCCAAAGGCTTGAGATGCACATCTGATCCGATGTTGAATCTCTTCATCGATGTCCGCAGTGGTGGACAGGTGGGAGCCGAGATACTGAAAGTGGGTAACATTAGAGAGGGTAGTACCGTTAAGCTGGATGGATAATGGAGATGTGGCTGAACCAGGGGCAGGATGAAAGAGAATCTGAGTCTCACGTACATTCACCTCAAGGCCGAAGTGTGCATACGCATCTTTGTAGGAGTTCAGGATCTCCTGTAGGTGGCATTCAGTGTGAGCGACAAGGGTGAGGTCGTCTGCATACTGCAGTTCGGTAATGGAAGCTGCTGACACGTTTGTTCCTTCCTGGAGTCGTCTTATGTTGAAAAGACCCTTCATCCGGTACTCGATGTACACTCCGCTGGCTAAATTGGCACTAGCACGAGTAAGGAAGGCAGCCAAGAAAATGGGAAAGAGAGTTGGTGTCAGTACACATCCTTGTTTAACCCCTGTTTGGATGGGGAAGAACTCAGACTGGGTGCCATTGTGCAGGACACTACCGTTCATGCCGTCGTGGAGCTGCCTCACAGTGGTGATGAATTTTGGTGGGCAGCCAAAACGGCTGAGGGTCTGCCAGAGGACTTCCCTGTTGACTGAGTCGAAGGCCTTGGTTAGGTCATTGAAGGCCATGTACAGGTCACGACGCTGTTCTCTTCACTTTTCCTGTATCTGGCTGGCAGCAAAGATCATGTCAGTGGTGCCACATTGAAATTCTGGCAGGAAGTTTTCCGCCTCAGGAAGAAGTCTGTTTAGGAGGACTCTGGCGATAATCTTGCCAGTTATGGACAGCAGCAAGATCCTACAGTAGTTGCCACAGTCTGACCGGTCTCCCTTGTTCTTATAAATATTGACGATGGAGGTGTCTTTAAGAGTTTGGAGGGATTTCCTCCTTTTCCCATATATTCTCCAGGAGAGAGTGGAGATGGCTGGTAAGCAGAGGTCCTCCTGCTTTATACACCTTAGCTGGGATTCCATCAGGCCCCAAGGCTTTGTTATTCTTCATCTGTTTGATGGCAGTAGCTACCTCATCCAGAGATGGAGGATAGCGGAGGTGGGTCAGCTCTGGATGCTGAGGGACCTGCTGGGTAGTCAGGACATCCACATTGGTATTTCGGTTTAGCAGTGAATGGTAGTGCTCTTTCCAGCGCTGAAGGATGCCTTTAATTAGGGAGTTACTGTCGAATGAGTGGAGGGGGGCTGCGCCATGAGTGGTTGGCCCATAGAATGTTTTAGTGGAATTTAAAAATTTGCACATCTTGTGCTGATCTGCAAGTTTTTGTGTTTCACATGCTTCATTTTTAAACCAGTCTTTCTTTAGAGTGTGAAATTCAATCTGGGCTGCCGCTTTCTTCTTGTGGAAGGTATCAGCTTTGGTCCGAGACTGAGGGTTGTTTTGCCAGTCAGTTAAAGCAGCACTTTTATCATCGATGAGTACGTTGATTTCTGGGTCATTTTCATCAAACCAGTCCTGGTGTATTCTTCGATCTGGTCGAGGGTCTCTGCAGGTTATTGTCATGACAGTGTTGAGAATACCCCATTTGGCACTGGGATTTGGGTTGTTTGTTGTCATGCTGTGTATCAGCCCATGTTTGAGCTGCTCTCTGAAAGCCTGTGCTATCGCTGGATCCTCCAGACTCTTAGTGTCTAAACCTTTTCTGGAGGCTTGCTGCCTTTGCCATTTTGGGGCAATGTGAAGTGAGAACTTGGACCTGATGAGCCGATGATCAGTGTCACAGTGGTCTGAGTCACACATGGCACGGGTGATGAGGACATCTCGGCGATCTCTCTCTTTGACAATGATGTAGTCAATGAGATGCCAGTGTTTGGATGGTGGGTGTTGCCACGAACCCTTGAACTTGTTGACTTGCCTAAACAAGGTATTGGTGACAGTGAGGTTATGCGCAGCACACTTGCTGAGGAGGAGTAGGCCTCTGGGATTACATGTGCCTAGTCAATTTCTCTCTATGGTTCCCTGCCAAATGTTAGCATTTCTGCCAACTTTGTCATTGAAGTCACTAAGGACCACAACCTTGTCTTCTCTGGGGATAAAGGTTAGCACTCTGTCAAGGTCGGCATAAAAGGCCTCCTTGATGTCATCCTCTGCATCCAGTGTTGGGGCGTATGCACTGATGAAAATTCATGACGCGAGTGATTCAGCGGGATTCGGAGTGTCATGAGGCGCTCGTTGATCCCAACCGGCATTTCAGTTAGCCTGTGTAGGTTGCGTTGGCGGATGGCAAAGCCAACTCCATAAGTACGGTTTCTCTCCACAGCAGGCTTACCCTTCCAGAAGAAGGTGTAGCCAGTCCCCCGTTTTGTGAGTTGACCCTCGTCTGGGAGCCAGGACTCACTAATGACTGCTATGTTGATGTTATACCTACCCAGCTCTTTTGCCACAAGGGCAGTTCTTCTTTCAGAACGCTCATTTGTGCCAGTATCCAGAAGGGTCCTGACATTCCATGCAGCGACCATAAGAGGTTGTATAGTTTGTTTTTGTTTTGGCCTGTGACTATGATTATGTTTTCGACCGCATAGGGATGACCTTATTGAGTGCTGTTGCCCAGTCAGGTTGTTTTTTTAGGTAGGCTATATTTAGGGCACCTTTTCTAGCCCCCTCCCCATGTGGGGTGAGCAGAGTGGGTCCTCGAAAGGGCTGCTCAGTCACACAGGCAGGACCGGATTGCACTGCTGCCTAGATTCCAGTGCATAAACGACCATCTTATCTGTGCCACCCATGTGCAGTGTTGACTAGAGATTCCCAGCAGTTATCTCTGCCTGTCCCCGTCGCCACTTGTCCTTTGCCATAGGACTTTTGGGGGTATAGGGGTATTGATGATGATGAGAAGCTGAAAGCAAGAGGGAGCAAGCAGTGCTTACACCTTATTACTAACATAATGCTGCCACACTAGATGCATTACACCACCCCGTGTGTACACACACACACACACACACACACACTCACTCACTCACTTTAAAGTTTTTGTGTGAGACACTGTGAGTTGGAGGGAGGGAGGAAGGCTGGCACTGCCCTTTTCACCAATGATTTTATTTGCCTACATTCATTATCATATTCTCGTAGCATCAGCCTCTTATGTTGTATGTTTTATCATTGGTAATATAAAATATTAAATACCATGGAAAAAATATGATGTATAATTATTCATTTGACATCAAAATTACATGACAAGGTGAATAGTAAGGCAATTTTTGTTCACCCAGACCTCTCCAGTGGGAGGTGGGTAAGCTTAGCCATGACCAAATTAGCCACTTGTTAATTTTATCATTACAGTACTGATACATTATATAAGTAAGTAGTGTATTGTACTATATATGAAGGGTACACATTACAGTAACATAGCTCTATTAATTA